GGCCTTTTTAAATATAAGAAGCAGATATTATCAAAAATTTCTGAACACATTTCATATCTTTCCGTTTGCTAGTCATGTGTACCAAATTAGCATTATTGGTATAAACAAGAGAAACCAACTTTGTTTATACAGGAAAGGAAATTATTGGGAGAATATCAACTCTCAGACAGATTTGATGGGAAGGCTAAACAACCAGGCTCGGAAAAGCAGTCAAGGACTAAGGGAGGTGAGGTGGCTGGAACTTCAGCCCAATCCACACCTCCAGGGACAGTCTGACTGGGACACACTGGTGGCCCTGCCAAGCCAGGACTCGTGATGTTGCGTGCACTGCCACCAATCAGTGAATGCCACTGCTAACAGAAGTGGATTCTGAGCTCTCCCCTGATTCTTTTGTTATTCAGTTCAGATTTAGGTCCCAGGCTGGAGCATCTACTTGACTGATCTGGAACAGGGAAAATCTAAACCTCCCTCCAGCTTCTGTGGTGGGAAGTTGGCTCTGCCCCCTGATGATCTCAGGACTATGAGATGCTGGGGATCCTCAAATGACAAATGCTCACAACTCATAGGGATACTAAATGATTTAGAATTATTTAGTTGCTATATTTATACTGTATTTTGAATGATAAGAGAGTGGTTGGTGTTTTCAGCATATTTTCTGAGAGGCAGCAAAAAAGAGAAAAAGCAAGCATATTTGCAATGAAACGAGGACTGACTGGGTTTTGGAAGATGGCAGTGGGGTGGAGGGAGAGAATGTGGTGTCTCAGTTGATGAAGAAAAGGGAGAAATGAAGAATGATGCTCAATTTTCTGGTTTGGGGGCTTCAATTAATGCAGGTACTGCTTATTGAGAAGGAGGACACGACAAGAAAGATCACAAGTAGAGTGGGAGTGGGGATAAGATGATCTCCATTGTGGGCAAGTTATATTCATTGTGCCTATAGGACATTCAAGAGATGAAACATGTATAGTAAGCAGGTGAAGATTTGGATATTGGGCTTCCCTGGTGGCACAGTGGTTGAGAGTCCACCTGCCGATGCAGGGGACACGGGTTCGTGTCCCGGTCTGGGAAGATCCCACATGCCGCGGAGCGGCTAGGCCTGTGAGCCATGGCCGCTGAGCCTGTGCGTCTGGAGCCTGTGCTCTGCAGCGGGAGAGGCCACGACAGTGAGAGAGAGGCCCGCGTACTGCAAAAAAAAAACAGATATGGATATTAAGTTCTGAAGCTGGACTGAAAATAGAGAACTATGAGTCACAAGCATATTGATAGGAATTTAATCCCTGGGATTGGATGAGGTTGCCCAGTGAAAACGGTACAGCAGGAAAAGAACAGGATTTAGAGCATAACCCATCATGGCTGTTTAAGAGATAGGCAAAGGTACCGGAGCCCATAAAGCAAGCTGAGAAAGTTGGGCCCAAGTTGCAGGAGGAAATGCAAGCTATAACGCTTATCATCTCTACTGAGACTTCATAAATTACATGTTCTAAAAAGTGGTTTTTCAAACGTTAGTGTGTATCAAAATCACCTGGGGTGTTTGCTAAAAACTTAGTTTCGTGGACTCACCCCCGGGGAATCCTATACAGCAAGTGCAGAGTGGTAGCCATTTCTCTGTTTTTAACAGACATCCAAGATGATTCTAACATAGGTGATTCTTGAAATACACTTTGAGAAACACCTTTCTAGGAGACAATGTGAAATGGTTGAAAAAGCAAGGTTTTAGAATCAGACTTACATTAGGGTCCTGGCTCTTACTACTTTGGTTGTGTGGCTGTAAGCAAGTTGTTTAAGTTTTCTTTTTCCCCATCAGTGCTGGGGATATAATAAATACCTTCTTTGTCTTAGAATTATTACAAGGTATATATGAGATTGCTGTATTAAATTTCTGGCATATAGAAGGAGTTCAGCAAATAAGATCTGTCTTTTTGGGCTTCCCTGGTGGCGCAGTGGTTAAGAATCCATCTGCCAATGCAGGGCACACAGGTTCGAGCCCTGGTCCAGGAAGATCCCACATGCTGCAGAGCAACTAAGTCGGTGCACCACAACTACTGAAGCCCACGCACCTAGAGCCGGTGCTCTGCATTTTTAGAAAAAGAAAAAAAAAAGATCTGTCTTTTTGGCACTTAAAACCCCCAGAACACAGCTGTAAACCTAAAGCCAGTGAAAAAGTAGGAGGAAATAGCATCATTAACCTCATACATTTTGTTTTGTAAGAGATCAGAGCCAACTGCTTTTTACCTCAAACCTACTGAATTAGAATTGTGTAAAATTAAGTTACTGATTTAATAGATTTCATTATCTAGTTTCTCCTGGCAGCCTTCAGTGCTGTAGACATTAAATTCGAACAGCATTGATATAGGCAAGGTTAAAGTGTGAAATAGAAGCTGAGGAAAATGTAATAGAGGGACAGACACCTCAAAAATCCTGAGGGTATCAACGTGTTGTAATATACTATAAAAACTAATACTCAGATTAATACTACTCGATCAAGAAAAAGTTAAATTACGTTTAACAGAATTGTTTGAAAAGTCAGGGAAGTATATATTTCAGAATGATTTCAGTTATAAAAACCAACATTTTAGAGAGTTTGGGCACTTAAAACTCCGGACGCGCAGGCTCAGCAGCCATGGCTCACGGGCCCAGCTGCTCCGCGGCATGTGGGATCTTACTGGACCAGGGCACGAACCCGTGTCCCCTGCATCGGCAGGTGGACTCTCAACCACTGTGCCACCAGGGAAGCCCATGGCATGTACCTATTTTTAAGTCAACAGGTGTCTTTGAAACTACCCCAGAAAGCACTGTCAAACTAGCCTATATGTAAATTGCTATAGATTGCCATGTGATGCTAAGGTTTTCTCTTTCTTCTGGGCCTTGAAGAGAAGCTAATGTAAATGGAGAAGAGCAGAGTCTTAGCATACCCATGTCTGCCCATTTTGTGTCGTGAACTTCCTGTCTCACGTTGGCTAATTGGAAATATGGCTACTTTATGGTTATGGATTTGCAAAAGCTACTGAGAGTTATGAATTTTTCTTTCCTCCAACTGGTCCTTGAATATCCTGTTTTTTTCCTGAGAAGTTTAAGGAAATCTCTCAGAAGTATCCTGTATGGCTTTGATATTTGCTTCCAACTACTTCCATTTTTTATTGTGAAAATTAAATCCTTTTGCAGTGTAGTGAATCACTGACTGATATTCCTGGAGCAATTATATCTGTACTGGGTGTGTGGGAAGGTGTGTGGGGTGTCTGTTTCAGTGGCAAAGGGGGAAAGGTCTGGTACAGTGTTACTAGCTTTTGTCTCACCATACCTATAATGCTCCTTTGTTTGTTTTAAGTGCTCAGCGTAAATTTGTTGAATGAGTGAATGAATGACTTAGTTTTCTTTGAGAATTTTAGAAGAACCAACAGTGCTTAACCATTATTATTTTAATACCTTTTCCCCAGTATTATTTTTTTTGTTAGGTATTTTGCAAAATATGTTATGTGAGTACCAGTTCCATAAAATATTCTGTTAAAAAATGGTTTCACTGACAAATAATTTGGGGAAATGCTGCACACTAAATCTTTCTCATAGAAATTTGATCAAATATATTAAGGGCCTTAAGAAGGCTGGACTAACAAAACCTGCTTAACTTTGTTTAATTCAACATTTCCCAAACTTATTTGATCATAGAAACCTGTTAATATCCCATAAACACACTTTGGGAAATGCTGCTCTGATTTTTATAGTTTTCATCTCATAGAGTTTATTGCAGACGTTTTCCACAAAGCAAACTTCAAATTTTGAATTTGAATTGTTTTTTCAATCATCCAAAGAGTTGTAAATTATGACTAAATATGATTAGAATGTCCAGATTTAAGTCAGAAATTACTAACTCAGATTTTTTGCCTTTGATGTTTTGAACCAGATATGATCTTGATGACCTTTTAAAAATGCCTGTAACTTCAGGCATTAAATTAGTACATTTAAGAAAAGGAGATACATATTTTACGGGCACACTAAGCTGAGAGAGCCCTGCACCCCACGATGTGGAAGCATTTCTATATTTCCCCTGAGCTCAGTAAAAGAGACAGTTGTCCTCACTCATGATTTTAATATTGTATGTTAATCTAGGAAGTAAACCTATAGCAGTGCCTCTTTTCTCTCAAAATTGTATAACTGGATAAAGTAGGAAAGGTGACTAATTTTATTTTTAGTTTCAGTATTAAATCCTTTGTTTTATTCCTACTTCATTGTTTTTAAAGTAATATCTGACTAAAACTGAAGTCATCTTTTCTTTTGACTTTTCATCATATGAGATTCAAATGTGCTTTACTAGTTTAACTGTTCACTGACTGGTTAAGAAACCTACTTTTGTTTTGTTTTGGTAAGATATGCTTCTGTACTTGCTTTACCACTCCTCTCCATTCAAATACTTTGTTTTTCCCCTCACATCTTTTTATAATTAGCAGTTTTGTTTTGCTTTGCTTTTTAAATTTAGAGTTTGATTTGTACCAATTTAGGAGATTTAAAGAAAAAAAAAGTTGTGTTTTAGGGGCTTTTGCGGGGTGGGGAGGTTGGAGGGTGGTGATGAGAGGAGATAGTAGTAAATAAAAGCCCAGCAAGCTTTCAACTAGATGGGTTTTCCCACTGGCTTACCAAACCTGAAAGAGCCACGGATTTGTAGTGGGTTTGTCTAGCAAGTTCTAAGTTCCAATTCTTGGATTTTCCCTACATGAAATTTGTCATATTTCCATACTTCCTTCTGAATAAGACCATTATCTGCAGGCCTCTTCTTTTGGTTCCCTTAGATGTCCTTCTTAAAACCAACCATTCCAAGTAACTCTGTAATTTTAGAATTAAAAGTAATACCTAGAAATGTTACTTAAATATTATACTGTGAAAGCAATATGACCAAAAAATATTCTATCCAAAAATTTATCCAAAAAAATCTAAATAAAAGCTAATCAACTGGATATTTATATTCACTATAGTAAATGAAATTCTAACTTTCGTTTTATCTTCAACAGACAAACAACAGAAAGGTGAATTTGCAATAGAAGGCTACAATGTCAGAATGAATAACAGTCTTAGGAAGGATGGAAAGAAAGATTGCTGTTTTGAAATCTCTGCTCCTGATAAACGTATCTATCAGGTTGGAGTTTTTATGATGCCTTGAAATTAAGTTGATAAAACTTCCTGACTTCATTTTTAAAGACATTAACATTTTGTTCAAACAACTCTTTCTGACATGTTAATAATAATAAAAAATACTGGGTTTTATACATTAAACATTTGTATAAGGGGAAATCAAGTTTTTAAAAAATTCCAGATTAGTTCAAGTGATATCTTCTTGAGAGAACGAACAGGAGATATGTAATTTATCAATTACTTCACATGTTGCGTTTTATGTCTATTTTAATGGAACTGTGTGATTTCTTAAAAGGATTACATGGCAGAAAGAATAAAATTATCAAAAGAGAAATATCAGAATGTTCATGCATATTGTATTGCTTAGGCTTGTGGGAGAAAAGGAAGGCCAAGGCACACATCAGCTCTGCAATTCAAGAGCTATCAGCCAGCATCAATATGGAATGCATGTTTAATAAGTTTCAAATATCTGAGATTGCAGTTGAAAGCCAGTTAATTAAGTTGTCAGGTAGTGTGTTGGAATCGGACAAGAACATTTTTAAGAAAGCTGTACCCAGGGGTCTAAAGAAATTCATGGGTGTCTTCTAATTGTCAAGGGCAAATTTTGTTCATCAGTTCTGTCTTTGACATTGATGAAGAGAAGCAGCTTTTTTTCCTGCACAGCTGCCAGCTGCTGATCACAGTTTCAAATCCATGATCCTCTGCTTCGATTACGTAAATTTGTCAAAATTAACTGTACATTATAAGAAGCATCCTTGCAAGGAAAGTAGTACTAGACGTGAAGAGAATTACTAATGGTCTTAAAGAAATGGAAAGAATGCAACATATACCTTTCATTACGGTGGTGATTTTTATTGCTATCGTTTGTTTTTTATTAGTTCACAGCAGCTTCTCCCAAAGATGCTGAAGAATGGGTACAGCAACTGAACTTTGTATTACAAGGTAAGAGCAATCAATTGAACAAGTTATTACCGTCTTTAAGTACTGAATAACTGAATAAGTTGGAGTTTCATACAAAGAAACTTATTGACTTCTGTGAGAAATGACTAAAAGAACATGACTGGTATTAATACATACCATTTGCTTCAGATTAATAAAAGCATCTTTTCTGCAAGTACCATATGGCAACTTTGAAATTCACATATTTACACCACAATCAGTTTTTTTAAATGTTTAAGTTAAGGATATAGCATATAACAATATTGCGACTTTGTAGGGCTGCCTCAATTTAGGTAATAGGGTTTTGAAAACCTCTTTTGCATTCTTGAAAATTCTGCTTCCTGAAACTTGTTTTGTAGATATGGGGTCTGATGTTATTCCTGAGGATGATGATGAAAGAGGAGACTTATATGATGATGTTGATCATCCTCTACCAGTCAGCAGTTCACCAGCAAGCAGCCAGCCAATTGACGATGAAATTTATGAAGAACTTCCAGGTATTTATTTATGGTGATTCACTTAAGGATTTTAGGGATTTTTTTTTAATGTCATATATCATCAAGAGAAGAAAATGATGAGTTATTAAAAACAAGGACAAAGAAAATCTTCAAAACTGTTTTACGAAAAGGGCTCTGCTTGAGGTATTTCAAGTGAGTGGATATACTTTTGTGAAAAGTGAATGGAATGTTAAAATGAAGCAGATACAGTCCTAATCTCATGGGACTTTTGGCTCATTAACATTGTTTATGCTACATAATTTTTTAATTAAAAAATTGACTTGCCTTACAGTTTTTTCCAGCAACTCACACATCATTTTTTATTTATACATCTTGGAACTTCCATTAACCAGAAGTTCTGTGCACACCCCAGATGTCAACAACTTCTGCCTCATATATTCCTCCTTGCTGTAGTGTATTGCATTGTCTTGGAGGAATATCGTTGAACTATAAACAAAGGCCTTTTGAGGCTTGAAGTTTTCGTACTTGATATTTTATCATTCTGCATTTTCAGGCATGGTTTAGTGTTTATATGCCTCAGTATCTGTTATGTAACATAAATTTAATTGTCTATTAGCTCTTTGGCTTGTAATTTTGAGGGTCAACCTAAAACAGAAGGAACATTTAGGGAATTATTACGTTACTACTACTCTAGGTTAAAATGAGCCTTTTTCTGGTTATTAAAAAAATCAGCCATTAGAGAAAGAAAAAGGATTATAAGTAATATGTGTGATATTTAACTGACATCTCATATAGAAAGGCTATTTTTCTTTGAATAGAACAATTTAACAACAGTATAAACCTTTACAAATGATTTAACAATACCTAAAGTGTTCAAAATTAACATACAAATGTGATGTTCAGTGTAGTAAGCAGAGCATAGTAACTAGCACATGGACTTTAGAGTCAAAAGGTTTAAATTCTGACTATACCATTTACTAGCTCAGTGACCTTAAAAGTCAATTTTGTCATCTATAAAATAATGATAATTTCATAAGGGGGGTGGTAGTAAATGACATCATGGATCTACAGCCCTCAGCACAGTGCTTGAGTCATAGCACACCCACAATAAATTGTCACATCATCATTATTATTTTCATTATTATATCTGGTAAATTCTGCACATGCTTATATGGAGTTATAATAATGGCTTTCTGACCAAGTAAGAATTAATGATTGTAATGGGATTATAAATCCAAGATATTAAAAAAATTACTCAAAATATGCATCTACATATTCTTTTTTTTTTAACATCTTTATTGGAGTATAATTGTTTTACAATGTTGTGTTAGTTTCTGCTATATAACAAAGTGAATCAGCTATACATATACATATACATATATTCCCATATCTCCTCCCTTTTGCATCTCCCTCCCACCCTCCTAATCCTACCCCTCTAGGTGGTCACAAAGCACCGAGCTGATCTCCCTGTGCTATGCGGCTGCTTCCCACTAGCTATCTATTTTACATTTGGTAGTGTATATATATGTCCATGCCACTCTCTCACTTCGTCCCAGCTTACCCTTCCCCCTCCCCGTGTCCTCAAGTCCATTCTGTACGTCTGCGTCTTTATTCCTGTCCTGTCCCTAGGTTCATCAGAACCTTTTTTTTTAGATTCCATATATATGTGTTAGGATACAGTATTTGTTTTTCTCTTTCTGACTTACTTCACTCTGTATGACAGACTCTAGGTCCATCCACCTCACTACAAATAACTTAATTTCATTTCTTTTTATGGCTGAGTAGTATTCTAGGAATACATCTTCTTTATCCACATCTTCTTTATCCATTCATCTGTCGTTGGACAGTTAGGTTGCTTCCATGTCCTGGCTATTGTAAATAGTGTTTCAATGAACATTGTGATACATGACTCTTTTTGAATGATGGTTTTCTCAGGGTATCCGCCCAGTAGTGGGATTGCTGGGTTGTATGGTAGTCCTATTTGTAGTTTTTTAAGGAACCTCCATACTGTTCTCCATAGTGGCTGTATCAATTTACATTCCCACCAACAGTGCAAGAGGGTTCCCTTTTCTCCATACCCCCTCCAGCATTTATTGTTTGTAGATTTTTTGATGATGGCCATTCTGACTAGTGTGAGGTGATACCTTATTGTACTTTTGATTTGCATTTCTCTAACGATTAGTGATGTTGAGCATCCTTTCATGTGTTTGTTGGCAATCTGTATATCTTCTTTGGAGAAATGTCTATTTAGATCTGCGCATTTTTGGATTGGGTTGTTTGTTTTTTTGTTATTGAGCTGCATGAGCTGCTTGTATATTTTGGAGATTAATCCTTTGTCAGTTGCTTCGTTTGCAAATATTTTCTCCCATCCTGAGGGTTGTCTTTTTGTGTCGTTTATGGTTTCCTTTGCTGTGCAAAAGCTTTGATGTTTCATTAGGTCCCATTTGTTTATTTTTGTTTTCATTTCCATTTCTCTAGGAGGTGGGTCAAAAAGGATCTTGCTGTGATTTATGTCAAAGAGTGTTCTTCCTGTGTTTTCCTCTAAGAGTTTTAAGACTGTCAGGCCTTACATTTAGGTCTTTAATCCATTTTAAGTTTATTTTTGTGTATGGTGTTAGGGAGTGTTCTAATTTCATTCTTTTACATGTAGCTGTCCAGTTTTCCCAGTACCACTTATTGAAGAGGCTGTCTTTTCTCCACTGTATATTCTTGCCTCCTCTATCAAAGATAAGTTGACTGTATGTGCATGGGTTTATCTCTGGACTTTCTATCCTGTTCCATTGATCTATATTTCTGTTTTTGTACCAGTACCATACTGTCTTGATTACAGTAGCTTTGTAGTATAGTCTGAAGTCAGGGAGCCTCATTCCTCCAGCTTCATTTTTCTTTCTCAAGATTGCTTTGGCTATTCGGGGTCTTTTGTGTTTCCATACAAATTGTGAAATTTTTTTGTACTAGTTCTATGAAAAATGCCATTGGTAGTTTGATAGGGATTGCACTGCATCTGTAGATTGCTTTGGATAGTAGAGTCATTTTCACAGTGTTGATTCTTCCAATCCAAGGACATGGTATATCTCTCCATCTGTTTGTATCATCTTTAATTTCTTTCATCAGTGTCTTATAGTTTTCTGCATACAAGTCTTTTGTCTCCTTAGGTAGATTTATTCCTAGGTATTTTATTCTTTTTGTTGCAGTGGTAAATGGGAGTGTTTCCTTAATTTCTCTTTCACATTTTTCATCATTAGTGTATAGGAATGGAAGAGATTTCTGTGCATTAATTTTGTATCCTGTTACTTTACCACATTCATTGATTAGCTCTAGTAGTTTTCTGGTAGCATCTTTAGGATTCTCTATGTATAGTATCATGTCATCTGCAAACAGTGACAGCTTTACTTCTTCTTTTCTGATTTGGATTCCTTTTATTTCTTTTTCTTGTTTGATTGTTGTGGCCAAAACTTCCAAAACTATGTTGAAGAATAGTGGTGAGAGTGGGCAACCTTGTCTTGTTCCTGATTTTAGAGGAAATGGTTTCAGTTTTTCACCATTGAGTCATAGCACACCCACAATAAATTGTCACATCATTATAATTTTCATTATTATATCTGGTAAATTCTGCAAGTGATTATATGGAGTTATAATAATGGTTTTCTGACCAAGTAAGAATTAATGATTGTAATGGGATTATAAATCTAAGATATTATAAAAATTACTCAAAATATGCATCTATATATTGTCTTTTACTACCCTACCAGAAGATGATTACTATAAAAGCATGATTTTGTGGGGAATGGTAATCTGTATATTTCTATTATTTTAATAGAACTATATGTTTGTAGCTCCTTCCTTTCTGATTTATCTCAAGGAAATGACATCTGCCATAGCCTTGGTTATCCTCAAGTAGGGAAGAATATTCTCTGACTGCTTGTCTTTAGTCACACCATACCACTAATACAGTTATTTTAGTCTTTATGTTCAGAAGAGCTTGTGAGAAAGTATACTGATGTAAAATGGAAGAGTGTAGTACCTTTAAATATGATATTACTGCAATATACACTTCATTCCTTTAAACCACTGCAGTGAATGGGTTACATTACAATTGCTGAATTGACTGTTAATTAAGTTCTGTGTTTCTTCAACTTGCTTATCCTCTCCCCGTCCCCCCAAATAAAAAATTGGTCAGGAATAAAGAGCACATATTTATAGCACTTTCATACTAAAGATCTAAGGAAGAGTGCCTGTAAGTAGCTTGAAATCTTAAAAATGTGAAACATCTTTTATTTTCTCTCACTACAGATGTTCTTCTTCATCACTTTTTTTGGCCTGGGGCCACATAATCATTGTAAATAACTGGTTACTCTTGAAGTAGTCTTACTTCTTTCTGTGGTACTGGAAGAAATCTAAGCTGCTCTGGTATTCCTTGCCCCTGCCTGGGATCCCAGTTGCTGTACAAAGTGATTGAGTTTGATAGAGCCTGCAACTGTGCCCCTGGGAAGGAAGCTGGTGTAGGCAGCTGTGGAATGTCTAGTTCTTCCTTCTTTCCCAGTGTAACCGAGAGCCACTTCAGTGTCTGCACAGTTCAGGGTGGTCGAGTTTGAGCCACCCACTAGAGAGGGGTTTTTTTTTTTTTAGTGAAAACCCTGAAGTTGGCTCTTAGAGTTAGAGGTTTTGTTTGATTAAATATCTAAAACTAGAACAGCAACTTTTTTTCTTTCAGAAATGGTCTCTCAGGAGAAGAGTTAAGCTAATTGCTTTCACTTCTGTGAAATATGAATATAATTTTGAGAGGAGGTGAAAACAGTGGAAAAGCAGTGAACATACTTATAAACTGTTGTTATTTTTCCAGTTCTGTACAAATAACTGTGTATATCAGAAATCTTACTGGTTAAACTCCCAGAATTAATTAATACTATCATTTCAACACGATTTTCTGTCCATTACATGTAGTTGAAAATTAATCCTCTTAGTTGAAAGATGAAGCATAAAATGTGTTTGAAGAAAAATCTAAGCATTCAACATGTTACTTTAAAGCACAAAGTTCT